TTTTCTGCAGCCCACTGAAAGATTTGGTTGATGTCCGCCTGGAGCCTTGCAGTGTCTGCAATGGAAGACACTGTCATGCAGATTCGGGTGTCATCTGCAAAGGAAGACATGGTGCTGTGGCTGACATCCTTGTCTATGTCGGATATGAGGATGAGAAACAAGATGGGAGCAAGTACTGTGCCTTGTGGAACAGAGCTTTTCACCGTACTTCAATAACAATAACTTCAATAACAAAAACATAATGTGGGACCAAGTCAACCAGGTCCTAAATGAGACTAGTATCTCTTTAATAGACCACATCTGGACTAACACCAGATCCCCTTTAAAATCAGGCATAATCACAGACAACACCACAGAGCACTACACTACCTGGGATCCTCTCCGAGATACGATACTACGTGCCGCAAAATGCCCTTCTCACACTATACCACTCATTTATTTATCCATACCTCACCTACGCTATTTGTGCTTGGGGATCAACTGCAGCAATACACCTAAAGCCAATAATAACCCAACAAAAAGCCGCAGTAAGAATAATCACTAAATCCCATCCCTGGCAACACACCCACCCCACTCTTCATAGATCTAAACTTACTCCCTGTTCAGAACATCCACACTTACTACTGTGCAATCTACATCTACAGGACCTTAAATTCCAATATTAAACCTTGACCTAAAACGCTTTCTTGGTAGTTGTGACAGAACCCACAGGCATAACACCAGACACAAACATCTCTACGACATTCCAGGCCCTCGTGTGCACGGATGTTGAAGCTTGAGGAACTGAGTCTTCAGTCAACTTGGCGTCCACCAGGACGCTGACATGTCCCTAGGGGAGCTCTCCATCGGGCTGCTAACGGAGTCACTGGCTTCTTGGACCTCTTGGGGAGGGTCGATGGTGCTCGTGCAAGCAGCAGATCCCGGGGCAACTTGCTGCTGTTTGCAATGGCTGTCTACCGAGGAGAGACAGGCACCTAGCAACATCTGTTGTTGGGGCAATGGATGAATTCCCTGCTATGTTTGTTAACTGCTCATTACTCTGTAATTTGTCTATGATTGTAATCAATGTGATAATGTTTTATCATTCATTACCTTTTTAAACTTGTCATGATTTTGACCAGCTCTACCTGGAGCTCATTACCTTTGTAAATTCTCATGATTAATGTTTTTTTAATTCTTAAACCTTTGAAATTAATTCAGAGTGTGCCAGCTCAAACCGGGACCCCCTTTTAAACCTTTTAAAAACTTGGTCAAAAATTTAGACCAATCTATTTAAATACCTTGGGTAATTTTGCCAGCTATCAAAACTTTGGAGCCCAAAGCCCCGGGACCAATTATGTCCTCTTAATCTTTTAAACTACCGCCCCCAAGGGTTTTGGGGGGTTGCAAAATTTAAACATAAAAGGATTAAAATCTGATTTTTACAAAAAATTTGGTTATTGGGGGGTTTTAAACATGTATAAATTACAGATTTAACCACTAAACGCTTAGCATGGCTAGGCATTTGGGGGCAGCCCTTATTTTATTTTTAAATTTTGTAAAAAAATTAAAAAATTTTTATTTTAAGTTGGTAAAAAGGCAAAAGTAAACTAAATACTAGTTTGTGATTTAGCAAGTAAATGCTTTTGTTTGGCACATTTACATATTTCAGTTTTGGGAGTATCCCCGGTTTTCATTTTTTTAAATTGAATTAATACATTTCTGTTTAGGTCAAATGGTCATTTGATTTAAAGTGGGGAACCACCGGGTGGTATTCTGAGTTAGTTGAGGGGTTTATGGGGGAAAATTTAAATGTTTTCAATGGTAGTTTTAAAAGGGTGATAAATGGTCCTGCAGTTTTTAGAGTTCTCAGGTGGGGTATTCCTTTTTTTAGGGCCTTTGACATACTTTAAAATTTTTTTTGTAAATTTTTTAGTGGGAAAAAGGGGGAAGGGTCGTAGAGATGTTTTTGGGGTTCTGTTTAATCCTGGGGGGTTTTTCTTCACAACTACCAAAAAGCATTTTAGGTCAAGGTTGTTTTTTGATTTTTAAGGCCCTGTAGATGTAGATTGCACATAAAAAAGTGTGGATGAACTAAAAACGGGGTTTAATTTTAAGTCTTAAAGTGGGGGGGTGTTTGCCGGGGAAATGGATTTTAGTGATTATTCTTTACGGGCAGTTTTTTGGGTTGGGTTTTTAATTGGTTTTTGGGTTTGTTGCTGCTTTGGACCCCCAAAGCACAAATAGCATAGGTGGGGTTAGGGATAAAAAGCGAGTGGTATATGTGAAAAAGGCATTTTTGGCAGGGTATTTTTGAAATTTTGGAAAGGGGAAACCCAAACCGTTTTGGATACTTTTTGGGTTTATATGCGGGATATGGGGTGCTGAAATTCGGGTTGTTGTAAAGGGAAATAACCCTGGGAAATTTTGCCCCCATTTTTTTCTGGAGTTTTTGTCAACTTAATTTTAAATTTTGTGCATCTCCTGCTCTTCTACCAAACATAATATAGTAGGTTTTGTCAGTGTTAAGCGTAAGTTTATTGGCTGTCATCCAAGTCGACATTTTGATCAGCTCCTCATTCACAGTGGTGTTGAGGGTGGCAAGATTAGAGTGAGAGATGACATAAGTCGTGTCGTCAGCAAAGAGAATGGGTTTCAGGTGTTGGGATACGTTTGGAAGGTCGTCATTGATGTATATCGAGAAGAGCAGGGGACCAAGGACACTTCCCTGCGGAACTCCAGTATCAAGTGGCCGTGTTGCTGATGCTGATGCTCGATTTCGTTGATTTTTTTACCAGAGACTTTAGGCATATTGAACCTCATGTGGTGAAAGTTGCATCAAGATCGTCCAATAAATAACGTTATAAAAAATAAAAATGTGAAAAATTGGACATGGCAACACTTATAGCAACGCAAGTCAATATTGACAATCTCGAAATCATTGTTGATAATCACAAATGATAAAGTAATGCCATTATTATAATCAAGGGGGAAGCGCTAAACCCGGAGGATTATACAGCGCCTGGGGGGGGATGTGGAAGGCATTCAGGCTTAATTCGGGGAACTGGAGCACAGATCCAATTCCCTAAATCAAGAGCCCCTCACCAACATCAAGGAACCTTCCTTGAGGGGTAAAGTAATGCCAAATTGACCATCTAATGGATATAAATAATGCAATAACATGTTTTATGGTACCCAAAAAAAATATGTCTTGACTTTAAATTTTTTTTTTTGCACTTTACATCAATTTATGCAAAATTGAAGGGATTATTACCCAAGACAACTCCATTACAAAGTCAAACAGGGTCCCCTGAATAACTTTTGTAAAATTCAGAATGATCGGTTCATAAATAATGGTTTTACCTCAGAAAAATACAAATAAATGCACTTTTGAAAAAAATCAACAAATACATTGAACATTACTATACAGTGGGTAAAAATACTCATAGTGCCTTTATACGTTTATTGAGAGTAGAACTGGTTATATAGACATTATTCCTGAAGTTCCATGAAGATCCCTTTATCCTGAAGTTCTCTGGTGGCCGGCCAATCATAAAAATCCATCCCAATCAATCTGAAAAGAAAGAAATGAATTCTCAAAATCCTATTCCCAGTGATTATGTACAGATACATGTAATTGCACCCATATATGATATTTATACACATACCAATATAAAAATATACCAAAAAAACACTAATAATTACGTACCTATGACTGGATGTAGGTGGACACATGATTATCTAATGTCCTCCAGGCTCGTAGGACGTGTCCAGCTCCCTTTTCCTCTTCATTCCTCTTCGCTTCCGTTGTTCCTTCATGTTCTTCTCCATCAATTCAAGTTGTTTTTGAGTCACTGCTGAACGTCTGTAGCCCAGTGCTGTGTCCAGACAGCTCCTCACATATCCACTATTGTAGTCAGCAACAGCATGGCTGACTGCAAAATCAGCATGCCTCTTGGTTTGATATTTGGCTTTATTGCTGTAACACCATATGCGGTGATGCAGACTTTCATTACAGTTTTGCGTTCTGCCTTTTATACAACGCTGCATCATTTCATCTGATGTTAGGTCTTTGTAGACATTATGCACCTCCTCCATGTATGCAGGTTCCAGTTGGAACTGCACTTTCATCTTGGTGTGAGATGGTGGAGGAAGGTCTGCTGCTGCTGCTTTCTGGTAGAAACACCAGGATTTATCACCTGTTGGGCAAAGGTGATGCTGAGGTTTTTCATCAGTTGAGGAACAATGGAAGAAGCTTGCCATGATAGAATTCCTCATATCCTCAACTCCATGACCGATCTTCTCTCTCAGGTTCTTATGAAAGTACTGTGCTAACTTACCAATTACAAAGTCTGTCAGCATGCCCTTTTTCTTCATGGCGAACTCCTTGCTCTTCTTTCCAGTCTTCAATTCTTTTTCAACATATTGTGACTTTACCAAATTTGTTAGTCTGGTCTTGAGACGTTTTGAATAGTGATTGATGCATTCCTGTTTTTCAACATTTACATCTGGATATGGTCCCTCACCATCGTTGAGGTCAACAATGGTTTTATACGTACTGCTGTCACCGTCACTCACTATTGTTTTGTATCTCAGTTTTTTGTCAAGAGATCGTTGCCAAATTTTTGCTGCTGCATCACTTTCCATCTTTGCAGCTGTTCCTGAATAGTTTATGTAGCATTTATGTTCGTGTTCATTTTTATACTGTTCATATTTTTCAAGAGATGTTGTCTGTTTGCTGTAAGAACTTTCCATATAGGCACACACATGACAGTACTTGCACAAAACTTGATAGTCAACCACTAATTTCGTCACTGCATCGATAGCTATACCAATGCCTATATTTGAGTGATGTCCCCTTTTGTGCCATGTACCGTCATATGTTACATCAATGTCAAGAATTCCATTGACATCTGGTTCAATTTTCAATTTGCGATATTCCTGAACAATAATGTCCCTAGATTCTGCAAGTATTTTCTGGCTTGACTCGATACATTTTTCTGTTATCATAGACGCATATTTATTGTATGTTTCTAGAGTGATATGTGGAAGAGTGCACAATGCATTTCTACGAGTAAATGCACGGTATCCTTCACCTGCTACCATTTCCCCATACACCATCCTGCAAGTTATCTCATTTTCTACATTTACCTGACTAGGTTTTTCCCCCAACTGATGTCCACAACGAGGACACTCTAGAACAACAACCGTCTCTAGATGTTGGTCATAATATTTAGTTTGCATTTTTTCGACACAACACTCCAAGCAAAGCATTTCCGATAAGACAGTATTATATAATTTATTACAATCGATCATCTTGATATTCACGTCACTAAACTCAGGAATTACCTTACTAAATAATGACACTCTCTTTGTGGCACTTGACACCTCAGCAGATGCAGGTGTCGACACTGGATTATCACTCGACACTGGATTATCACTCGACACTGGATTGTCACTCGACACTGGATTGTCACTCGACACTGGATTGTCACTCGACACTGGATTGTCACTCGACACTGGATTGTCACTCGCAACACAAGTATCAATATCTGAGCTGTTGGCCACACCTGGGGTGGCAGTGGAGGTGCTGGCCACAGATGTGATCATACGAGATGAAGTGGCCGTGGAGGTGCTGGTGGCCACATCTTGGCTGGTGGTGGAGGTGCTGGTGGCCACATCTTGGGTGGTGGTGGAGGTGCTGGCCTCATATGGGATCAATACAAAGCAATTGGGACTTCTTTTGGTCTTAGATCCTTTTGGTCGGCCAACTGGACGTCGTGTGGCCACAGGTACGTTTTTTCTGGGTCGACCACGTGAACGTTTGGTGGCCACATATGGAATGGCCGTGGAGGTAGTGGCCGTGGAGGTAGTAGTCGTGACAGTGGCCGTAGAGAGGGCCATGGAGGTAGTAGTTGTGGTAGTAGTAGCAGTGGAGGTAGTAGTGGTAGTAGCAGCAGTGGAGGTATTAGTTGTGGTAGTAGCAGCAGTGGAGGTAGTAGTTGTGGTAGTAGCAGCAGTGGAGGTAGTAGCAGCCGTGGTGGAGGTGGGCATATTTGCGGGGCTCCTATATTTTGTCTTGCTTGTTTCTGAACATGAAATATCCAATAGTTCAGTAGCAGTGAACAAGGACAGGTCTTGAGAGGAGGGTGGTGGTACTAGAATGGTGGCGGCGTCACCACGTGGTGGTACTAGCATGGTGGCGGCGTCACCACGTGGTGGTACTAGCATGGTGGCGGCGTCACCACGTGGTGGTACTAGCATGGTGGCGGCGTCACCACGTGGGGACTAGCATGGTGGCGGCGTCAACTGTGTACTAGCATGGTGGCGGCTCCCACTGTGGTGGGACTAGCATGGTGGCGGCGTCACCACGTGGTGGTGGTACTAGCATGGTGGCGGCGTCACCAACCACAGCAGCTGCTGCCGCTGCTGCTCTCTTTGCTTGTCTAGACCTTATCATTGCTTTTATGTTCCTTCTCCTCTTGTGGGTCATATTCTTGGGAAACTGTTTCTTCTTTGCAGGCATTGTGTACCAAAAATGTATACAATGAAAGGCAAAAAGTAACGTCCTAAGGGTAGTCAGCTGTCAGACAAAGTGACACACCCTCTCTCTCTTCAGACTTCCAGTCGGCACTGACTTGAGATGGTGTGAGCAGCTCCTTCTCACAGCTAACCTGATGGTTGCCAGTGACTATTTAGAAGATCTAGCTAAAAAATACACAAAAAAAAAAAGGAAAAAAATACCTGTGATACTGTTTTATGAAGCGAGTCGCGCTGGAGCACGTGTTATTGTTATGGTGAGCTGGGCCGCGTCATGATGACGTAGTTGCCATTGTTATAATTACGATAGCTTTATATGTAATTATCGTACAGAGACGAGGCGCACACCAAAATGTTGCCAGATCTTTGCTTTATTTTTCGGTAAGATTAACTCATTTTTCATATTTTTTCGATTTTTTGGTGTATTTTAGGCTCAGACTCGGCGGCCTGCGCCCTTAATGGTGACATACTGATACCTATTAGTAATGTGAGATTTGAAATAAGCAAGCGCATGGCCTCTTATACCATAGTGGTCAAGTTTGTGGAGTAGGATGTCGTGGTCTACTGGTCAAAAGCTTTTCTTAGGTCAATAAAAATTCCTAGTGCATATTAAACTAACTAATTAAACTAAACTCTACGACATTCCCCGTGTCCGACTAAACCTTTACAAAAATTCAATGTATGTCAAAGGCCCTAAAATCTGGAACACCCTACCTGAGAACTCTAGAACTGCAGACACATTCATCACCTTCAAAACTACCATCAGAAAACATCTTATCTCCCTGATACACCCCGTCAACTAACTACACGAATACCACCTGGTGGTTCACACTTACACTCACTCACCCATTTGACCATAAACAGAAATATTAATCTCAATCTTAAAATAATGAATCCTATGATACTCCAATACTGAAACTATGTACTGTGCCAAAACAAAAGCATTTACATTGCTAAACTCACAAACTAGTATTTAGTCACTTAGCCATAATACCAACTTACCTCATAATTTTGTAACATTTTAAACCTAAGATTTAATTTAAGTCTGCCCGAAATGCCTAGCCATGCTAGGTGTTCTAGTGGTACACTCTGTAATACCTAGCCATGCTAGGTGTTCTAGTGGTACACTCTGTAATACCTAGCCATGCTAGGTGTTCTAGTGGTACACTGTAATACCTAGCCATGCTAGGTGTTCTAGTGGTACACTCTGTAATACCTAGCCATGCTAGGTGTTCTAGTGGTACACTCTGTAATACCTAGCCATCTAGGTGTTCTAGGGTACACTCTGTAATACCTAGCCATGCTAGGTGTTCTAGTGGTACACTGTAATACCTAGCCATGCTAGGTGTTCTAGTGGTACACTGTAATACCTAGCCATGCTAGGTGTTCTAGTGGTACACTCTGTAATACCTAGCCATGCTAGGTGTTCTAGTGGTACACTCTGTAATGCCTAGCCATGCTAGGTGTTCTAGTGGTACACTCTGTAATACCTAGCCATGCTAGGTGTTCTAGTGGTACACTCTGTAATACCTACCATGCTAGGTGTTCTAGTGGTACACTGTAATACCTAGCCATGCTAGGTGTTCTAGTGGTACACTGTGTAATACCTAGCCATGCTAGGTGTTCTAGTGGTACACTGTGTAATACCTAGCCATGCTAGGTGTTCTAGTGGTACACTGTGTAATACCTAGCCATGCTAGGTGTTCTAGTGGTACACTCTGTAATGCCTAGCCATGCTAGGTGTTCTAGTGGTACACTCTGTAATACCTAGCTATGCTAGGTGTTCTAGTGGTACACTGTGTAATACCTAGCCATGCTAGTGTTCTAGTGGTACACTCTGTAATACCTAGCTATGCTAGGTGTTCTAGTGGTACACTCTGTAATACCTAGCCATGCTAGGTGTTCTAGTGGTACACTCTGTAATACCTAGCCATGCTAGGTGTTCTAGTGGTACACTCTGTAATACCTAGCCATGCTAGGTGTTCTAGTGGTACACTGTAATACCTAGCCAATGCTAGTGTTCTAGTGGTACACTCTGTAATAACCTAGCCATGCCTAGGTGTTCTAGTGGTACACTCTGTAATTTCCTAGCCATGCTAGGTGTTCTAGAGGTACAAATCTTTTAATACCTAGCCCCCTGCTAGGTGTTCTAGTGGTACACTCTGTAATACCTAGCCATGCTAGGTGTTCTAGTGGTACACTGTAATACCTAGCCATGCTAGGTGTTCTAGTGGTACACTCTGTAATACCTAGCCATGCTAGGTGTTCTAGTGGTACACTCTGTAATACCTAGCTATGCTAGGTTTTCTAGTGGTACACTGTGTAATACCTAGCCATGCTAGGTGTTCTAGTGGTACACTCAGTAATACCTAGCCGTGCTAGGTGTTCTAGTGGTACACTCTGTAATACCTAGCCATGCTAGGTGTTCTAGGGTACACTCTGTAATACCTAGCCATGCTAGGTGTTCTAAATGGTACACTCAGTAATACCTAGCCATGCAAGGTGTTCTAGTGGTACACTCTGTAATAAACCCAGCCATGCTAGGTGTTCTAGTGGTACACTCTGTAATACCTAGCCATGCTAGGTGTTCAGTGGTACACTCAGTAATACCTAGCCATGCTAGGTGTTCTAGTGGTACACTCTGTAATACCTAGCCATGCTAGGTGTTCTAGTGGTACACTCTGTAATACCTAGCCATGCTAGGTGTTCTAGTGGTACACTCAGTAATACCTAGCCATGCTAGGTGTTCTAGTGGTACACCCTGTAATACCTAGCCATGCTAGGCGTTCTAGTGGTACACTCAGTAATTATTATTTTACTACATGTAAACCACACAACAACCAAATTCTATAAATTCAGCATTGTAATCCTTATAGAGAATAAACTTGATTTGATTAACCTAGGTAAATTCCCCCCCCCCCCAAGACATTACTAAAGTTACCTTCAGACTACATAACGAGACAGCAGTTAATAACTTTATAGCAGCTATGAATAAATAAAGCCCATTACCTCTATAACAAATATTGCCCTTAAAAAACAAACAGATCACAGTAAAGAGACTGAATAATCCCTGGATAACACCCAGCATCCTTAAATCCATTAACACATAGCACAAATATGAAAAATCAGTATATTATTATTATAATCAAGGGGGAAGCGCTAAACCCAGAGGACTATACAGCACCTGGGGGGGGGATGTGGAAGGCATTCAGGCTTAATTCGGGGAACTGGAGCACAGATTTAATTCCCTAAATCAAGAGCCCCTCACCAACATCAAGGAACCTTCCTTGAGGGGTTCCCACCTCCAACCAACCCTACACAAGTCTCACTTATCTTAAACAACCTTAAAAACAAGGCTGGAGACAAACAACTTGCCAACTTTTATGTACACAAAAGCTTCTCAAGTATTGTCACCAATTATTGCAACACTCTTTAACAAATACATTGAATCTTCACCTTGGCAGCAGTTCTCAAAATAGCCAGGGTCACCCGAGGGTCACCCGGATACACAGAGGTGATCAAGCTGACTTGAATAACTATAGACCAATATCTAACTTTACACTCCTCTCTAAAATCTCTGAAAATTAATTCATAGACGGATCTGCTCCTACCTCGTCTCACACAACATACTAAACCCTTGTCAGTTTGGATTCAGGAATAACAAAAGCACAAATGATGCTACCATACACAGGCTAGAACTATAAAAATATAAGAAGTCCCGCTGGGAATTTTCATTGATTTAAGTAAAGCTTTTGATCCAGTCGACCATGAACTGCTGTACACTAAATTATCACACTATGGTGTAAGATGACACTCCCTCAACTACCTAAAGTTATACCTTAGTAACAGAAGCCAATAATTACACAAGTTGTGCAAACTCTTCCACACAGCCAATTACAGTTGGTGTCCCACAGGGAAGTGTCCTGGGCCCTCTTCTCTTTCTCATTTACATCAATGACCTACTGAATGCACCACAACTACTCAAACACACACTATTTGCAGATAACACAACATACATCTTCTCTCACACAAACTCAGTCATACTCGCCAACACTGTCAATGCCGAATTGCAGAAAATATCTGCCTGGATGATGACTAATAAACTTACTTTGAATACTGACATAACCTATTTCGTACAGTCTGGAACCAGAGCTGCAAATGTTCCACTTAACATAATGGATCACCCATCACAAGACTCACAGAGGGAAAATTGCTAGGAATCCACCCAGGCCCGGTGGCCTGGTGGGGTGGACCGGTGGCCTGGTGGGGTGGACCGGTGGCCTGGTGGGGTGGACCGGTGGCCTGGTGGGGTGGACCGGTGGCCTGGTGGGGTGGACCGGTGGCCTGGTGGGGTGGACCGGTGGCCTGGTGGGGTGGACCGGTGGCCTGGTGGAGTGGACCGGTGGCCTTGTGGGGTGGCCCGGTGGCCTGGTGGCTAAAGCTCCCGCTTCACACACGGAGGGCCCGGGTTCGATTCCCGGCGGGTGGAAACTTTCGACACGTTTCCTTACACCTGTTGTCCTGTTCACCTAGCAGCAAATAGGTACCTGGGTGTTAGTCGACTGGTGTGGGTCGCATCCTGGGGGACAAGATTAAGGACCACAATGGAAATAAGTTAGACAGTCCTGGATGACGCACTGACTTTCTTTGGTTTCCTGGGTGGCAACCCTCCGGGGGTTAAAAAAAACCGAACGAAATCTTTTTTATCTTAAATTCCAACACATGTCAAAAAATTTCCA